TATATATATATATATATATATATATATATATATATATATATATGTATATATAGTAATCTACACAGATCCATTTATAGGAATATTTTATTGGGTTTTTTATTACGTAATAACAAATTAACCACACATAAAATAAACAAGTTTAATAACATTAAAAAATTCTTCAACAACTGTTTAGATCATGATTATCCAATAAATTTCTTAAATACTTATATACATCAAAAATATATTAAACATCTTAGCGAATCGTGATCCAATTTCAAATCCACCACACAACAATAGGTCCACAAAGTCGGCTTGTTAGTGGTCTAGCCGTGAAGAATTTATTTATTTATTTACATTTATACAGCTTACATTTTTACTCACTCTCTGGACCGTTATACTCCTCTACCATACAACTTATTACCAACCAATTGTTTGCATCCTTTTACATTTTATTACCAATCAAACAATGATTTAAATCTTTTTTCAATTTATATGGTGATGATGTGTTATACTTTTTTTCATTTTGAGTATGTGATATACATCTTGAAGCTTAAAGAAAATTCCGTCTTACTACTCACATATTTGAATCTTCATTTCTTTGAATTTTGTAAGTAATTTTTTTATATTTTGATTTGTTGATAATTTTTAGAATTATAGATTTTATTTTTGTAAATTTTATCATTGAAAATTTTTTGCATTTTTTAATCATTGAATTCTTTTGTAATTTGGATTTCCCAATTTAGCCTACCAGGAATTATAGATTTTATTTTTGTAAATTTTATCGCTGAATTTGTTTGCATCTTTTAATCATGAACTCTTTTGCAATTTGGATTTCCTAATTCAGCCTACCAAGTCGCAAAGGGGGAAGGTTGGTACCATTAAACTAGTTTAACCCAGCTTAATCGGTCCTCAGCCCGATATTGCTTTTTGACTTGCTGGGTTCCATATTTTCATTTATTTTTCTTTCATTGTTACATTTCTTTCTGGATTTTTGTCTTTTTAAATATTTTAAATTATTCTTTCATAAATTCTCAGTATATATATATATATATGGGCAATAAAAACTTGCTTTACTTAAAGCGGTTCAATCTGAAAGATCGAGGTACCTTCAAAAACATGTAAAGAAGAAAATAACTTAAGAGAATAAACAATAAAAAATTTGTCTTATTTTTAATAAAACTGTAAATGTATTCTTACTAAATTTTATTTATTAAGTTTATAATATATTTTTATCATTAAAATTATGAAAATCATATATGTATAAAAAAATTTATACTGAAATTAAATAACACATTTTCGCAAAAATTATAACAATTTGAAATAAAAATACAACACCATAAAGACCTCCTTTTTTCAAAAGTGTTTTATGATCCTAATATTTCCTAAATTAACGAAAAAAATATACTTTTTTAAAGTAATAGTTATTTCTTCGAAGGAATGCGAAGCAACGAGTATGCAAATATGATGCCCTAGAGCGTCGGAGGTATATTATTTACACCGGCTGTTAAAAATCTGGAAATATATATATATATATTAATTTTGTCGCTTGGTATTGTATCATTGTAACATTATTAATTCATATCAAGGGAGTTTTAAATAAAATTTTATGTTTTTATATACCGTATCTCAAAGGATTAATGATCTTATAAGTTTAAAACGCAGTGAATTAAAAAAGATATCACCTTATCGAATGCCTCCTTCAAGCCACTTCAAAACACAAAGAAATCAACAGAAATATGGACAATTTAACTTGCATTACTACGGCTTAAAGTTGGATGTATTTCAGAAATCCGGTCTCGAGCAAATGACTCCTTATTTGGAACACGGTTCAATGAATCCAATCATGACTAATAGTTTTACGCAAGCATTTTATGCCTTAACATAAAGCTAATTAAAATTGGATACATAGGT